TGATTGTTGACGATTTGGCATGATCTTGGATTGTTTGGTTCTTCGAAGCTCATCCTGGAGTTGCTGTCATAGCAACAGGTCCACAAACTTAAACCTGCTCGGGAGCAGGTTTATTTCATGTAAACCGGATTAGATTGCATCTTTTTAAGCAGAATTAAGAACGGGCCCCATGTGTGTAAATAGTCCATCAGTGTGGATTCCTCTGCTTGTAAACAAGAGTAATGACAGAATTTTCATTTTTGGGTGAACTATCCCTTTAATTGCTATTCTATGTAATATTTATGTGCAATTAAAGCAGCTCATTCACTTGTGCATACAAGGTAGCTAAAAATAAGTGACTGTATTAACATTATTATGTTATTTCACGAATCCAATCATCAAATTTGTCATTTCTAAATATAGATTATTTCTCATATATTCAGACAGATGGAAAATTGTTTGAAATTCAACCTTTACAAACATACTGTACATTTTTATTAACATATTTACAAAGACATAAGTAAAACATTTGCTTGAGAACATTTGCATATAACTATGAAAAACAAATATGAACAGCATAAAACTGAACAAAGGTTAGGCTTTGCCACTAAAAGTTGAATATAAAAATGCTACAAATAATGTGGAGCAATGCTAAAATACAACACACAGACAGCATTGAGCTGAAAACAGGCCAGTGCTTATTTAAAATGGAGGTTTGTTTCAAAGCTGCTCTTAAAAAAATATATAAATTATAAAGAAAGAAAAGTCACTTTCAAAAAATGTCATTCTCTGATAAAAAAAAAACATATTAGCAATTGATGCAAGAGAAATGACTGAGAGAAATGAACGTGTTTCTTATTCATAACTGGAAATAAAATACAGGTCGAAACCAACAAAAAACAATAATCAGTTAGGCTCAGATCAGACATGAATTATAATACAACTTTACATAACAAAAGAGTGCAACAGTATCAAAAACATAACTGAATTATTACTTATTTATCCTTAAATAAAATTATAATAACATAAAATAAATTATGTCAGCTGTTACTGAGGTACGTTTTCACTGCATCTCTTCAGTTGTGGTTCCTCTTGGTAAAAGTGTCCTGGGAAAAACTTCAAATATTCACACGTCTATACACCCGACTTGTCAAACTATATTTCTGACTATTTAGTTAGTTGTGACTGGTTTGTTATTCCAACCTTTGGCCTTAATCCATGTCTTCTAATTCATCAACTTCAGTAAAGATGTCACTGAAGAAGTACTTGGAGACACTTGTGGGTTCTTCATCTGAGTTCTGCTGAGTAGAGAAAGATCAAATCCGGTTTTATTAATACAAATATACAAAGTGACCATAAAAGCACTGCAATATCTGACCGCATGATACCTCAATGACAGATGCAGTGGTGAAAGCAGGGGTCTGTGAGGGTCGCTTTACTCCAGGGTTGGTTGCAGTGGTAACAGGTCCGGCTGCTATCCGCTTTCTCTCAGGACGTGCGGTGTTGACTGCTGGTTTTTGGGGGCCTGGTTTGGCCCCTCGATGAGCTGCTGGGGGTCCTTGTGTATTCTTCGACGAAATGAAGGACAGGAACCCTTTGAGTCTTCTGCCAGGTCTATTGGAAGACATCCAAATGAACAAAAATGGATCATAACATCTAGACCAATATTAAAGCCAATACACTGCCCTGGAGAGTTTGCAATGAAATTTGGTGATAATAAGCCTTTTTAGCAGGATTTTTTTTGTTTTTCAAGATGCAGGGCTGAGTTATTTTTTTTTCAAACCTCTGAAGATACACATTTTGCTTTAAAAACTAACAAAATGTAGAGCCACCCACCTTGTAAGCGGCCCACTTGTGGCGATAGGCGTGATTTGACTGACACTTTGCAAGTCTGATCTACTAGCCAACTCAACTGTCTTTTTGCCTGAGAGGTCCACTTTTCCCATGATGCCTTGGGAGGAACCCTCCTGGACAGAATCTTCAGAGACAGGTGAACGAGTATTATCGCTAGTCGCAGAAAGGTCTGTAGTTGCTTCTCTGTCAGAGATGGTGGTTGATATCGAGTCGTCCGTTGATGAAATGACAGCGGGTACAGTTTGCTCTGGCACTGATCTCGTCTCTCGTGTTGAAACGGGTAATGAGGTAGTCTGTTTAAAAGAGAGAGCTGCTGTGTCCTCTTTAGCATCACCACCTCGAGCGTTTCTCCGCGAAACAGGGATGGGTTTAACTTGCAGCTTTGCTGAACAGAAGAAAGTGCATTAAATTAAAGACATGCTTTAAGTTACGAAAAATTCTCTTTCTAAAAAAAAATGCTTTTCTTAACTCCAATTCATCAAAGAATCCTGAAAGAAAATGTATGATGGTTTCCACACACAACTGTTTTCAGCATCGATAATAATCAGAAATGTTTCTTGAGCAGCAAATCAGCATATTAGAATGTTTTCTGAAGGACACTGAAGACTGGAGTAAAGATGCTGGAAACTCAGCTTTGCATCACCGGAATAAATTACATTTTAAAATAATTTCAAATAGAAAACAGTTATTTTAAATTATAATAATATTTCTGTTTTTACTGTATTTTTTTAATCAAATAAATGCAACCTTGGTGAGCATAAGAGACTTCTTTCAAAAACATGACAAAATCTTCCCGATAACAAACTTTTGAAAGCTCCCTTACCTCTCCTGGTACTCTCAGGTATTTTTCTTTTCTTTTCCAGATGTTCCTTCTCATCATCAGTCCCCTCTACCACAAGGCTTTCCAATCCTTCCACTAACACATAAAGAAACTGGGTTATAGGGCAGTGCAATGCATTAACTGATGTTAAATCTGTACCATATATGCTCATTTTTAGAGCTGGAAATGTTCTCACCACGATGTTCTGCCTGACTCTCATCTTTGGTATTCTAGGAAGGAAATGGCCTCAGTTTTAGTCACATATCAGTATTTGTCTAGCATTTATAGTTTTTAAAGTCAAGATGCATGTTTTACCCCCTGAGATGTGGAGGCTGGTGTCTTGCGTTTCAATTCTCCTGTCCTAGATTTGCTCACGTCTCCCTGTTCACTTTTCTTTTCCTCATCCTCTGACACAGAAACTAAAGCGTCTGTGATCAGAAGGTGAGATACCCCCCTGCTCTCACTAGCACTGAAATTAAGCACAATAGGTAGAACATGGAAACATTTGCAAATAAGACTTAAATCCGCATTCATTTGGCTAACAAATTCTCTACCGAGACAAAACTTTCTCACAACATCCTCCTAATGTTTATTTAGCTCTCTCCAAGTGTTTATGGTATCAGATAACAGTTTAAAGCAAAGGTACCTTTGACCATGAGAATGCGACTCAGAGGCTGCCACAGGTGGGAGGAGCTCTGTCCGAAACCCCGCCCCCTCATCTAAAGTGGGTGGGATTTCTATGAGAGACAGTATAAACACAGGTTCCTCAGGCGTGGGCTCAGCAGATGTGTCTTCTGATTCACATCCAGGATGTTCCACAGTGCTGCCTTCACAAACTTCCTCAGGATTAGCTCTATTGATCTCATCCAGCATGACCACAGTTTTCTGTCTGGACTCGTTTTCAGAAACAACTGGCAGGGTGACATCTTTGACTGTCTGAATTACAGAGACATAACACAGGATTATAAACATGACATTTATTATTTTGATGTCCTTATTGTAATAATTCTACCTGACGTGGTTTGATAGTATTTAACACACATTTAACAGATATTTGACCTCTGCTGATTCAATGCTAGATGCTCCTTCTTGTTGAGCTGCACTTTTGGATACATCAAGTTCTGTGGTAACTACAGCACCTTCTTCAGGACTTTTAGTGAAAGTGGTCATGGAAGGCTGAGCAGCAGATGGCTTCTCATTTAATACTGCAAGAAAACATATGCAAACATAAACAGATATTTGCTTTTGTTTTTAAATGATTTTAATAAATACATTATTAACTTATATGTTGCATAATAAATTGGATTTAATTTTAATAAAATTTTCAATCATTATTTTTGTGACAATAAATCACATTTACACACAATATTCTTAAAAGATTGGATGATAACATAATGAACATTCTTATAAGTAATTTTAAAATACTGGAA